GAAGGGCTGGTTGCCACGAGATGAGGCAAATCAACGTCGGGGGGCGAAATAGATGGCTTAGCCGTGATCTTAGGGTTCAACTCCTCCTCTCCTTCTCCTTCTCCCTCTTTGCGTCCTTCGCCGTCTTCCTCCATTGTTTTGGACGGCCGGGTAGAAGCAAGTGGAGTTGATCGGGTTCTGGAATTTGATGGGATTATAATTGACCGCGAAGGTTTGGTGACGGCGACGATTATCTTTAGAAGTTCATTGATTTGCAGCTTAATGAACTTATAAAAAATATGAGGTAAGGAAGATGATGATTTTCTTATTATAGAAATTTTGTTAATTTTATGGGAATAGTATTTTCCTTACGGTTTTTCATACAGTCCGGAGAATTCTTATATTTAGAAATAATAATAAATTTTGTCATGATTATATGTTAGAAAATTTATAGCCGTAAATTGTTTGTCTAATATCTTTATTTTTAGAAAGATTTAGTATGCAAAGATAGAAATTATCAGTGACATCGAAAATTTTTATTTGAAAATTTTAAAATGGGAAAAAACAAAGGGTCAGCATAATTATAATAATCAACTATATAATTATAGATAAAAGACATTTTTCTCCACAAATTGAAGACAAATGAAATTAGACAATTGAGAATAATTGTTTAATCCATATTGTGGTGAATACAAAAATCAGATGTCCACATACAGACATATAAAATGTAATAACTCTCATTTGCATTAGATTAATAACCTGTAAATAATTCGGAATAAAATTCTTGTATGTATGAAAATTTAAGTGGGATCATAACAACATTGTGTTGGAGAGCACAGCGGCGCTGGCCTCTCTGTGTTCAAGGTTGTGGCTGTGTGAGCAGAGCGGCACTGTATCCTCTGTTCCATAATAATTTGGGAGAGTGTTGTAGCATTGGGATCTCAAGCACCACAATGCTAGGACAAGATTACTGATCCATCGCATGAGTATAATTCGTATTGATTGATATTATTAACACTAATCACTACTATTCATATTGATATGTTCCTATTCTCATAAAATGTTAGACATGCTATGCTGATATGATTTGATTGATTACATATATATTGTGGTATTTTCTAACATTGGTTGAAATAGTAAGTTCTAATGACATACTGGGTTATTAGCTCTTCATATGTGATTTCACATAATTTTAGAGAAGGATAAGGACCCGGTAGGGCAAGGCTAATAAGATTGCTAGTGATTGGTTCTTCTTTCGTATTTTCTATTTGTTTATTTTGTAGTTAAAAATAACTTCAAAAAGCCTAATGTGATAAAATTTTTATTAATTTATTTATTTTGCAGTTAAAAATAATTTGAAAAATCCTAATGTAATCGAATTTTTTGCTATTGTATATGATTTTGGATTTAATAGAAATGTATGTATCGGCGCGCGCGCGCGCACACACACACACACATATATATATATTTAATTCTAATTTATTTTTTAAATTGATGGTTAGTGGCTCTAGTTTGTTAGTAGAAGATTTAAAAGTGATAGTTCATCCTAATTAATTTTGGACATCACAACTATAGTATTAGAGCAATGATTTATAGAAAAATTGAATTGTAACTAGAGTCGTAGAAATTGAATTGAAATGGGTTGAAATTGGGTAGTTTTAAGGTGCATTTCTTTTCATAGATTTAAATGCATATCTATGGTTAGATTATAATCTGTTAGGCCAAAGAACTATAGAAGTGAGCTAGTATGGATACAAATGATCAAGGTGTGCCAAATATGCAAAGTGATGTAGTTCTAATGATTTCTTACAGTCTGATGCAATTTGATAGCTTGATAGCATAACTCACGAGTAAAGCATATAGTAAGCAGTCTGGTCGAAAGAAAGGGAAGATGTTAAGCATTTATAGATGTTCAAAAAGTTAAAACCCTCATTATTTAAAGAAGCTATAGAACCATAGGTATCAAAAGGATTGGCTGCTAAGGATAGAGAAAATTTTTATTGTTTGCATTATCCAGAGAACATGAAGGTCCCACTAGAAATTTTTTCATTTAAGAGAGAAGTAGAAAGATGGTGGATTGGACAACAGATGGAGAAATTTCAAGGCATGATGATCTCACAAATTACGTAGGAAGAATTAGTAAATACATTCAGAGATTGGTTCATGCCTCCATTATCATGACAATAGATGCATGAAGCATTCATGAGATTGGAGGAAGATAACAAGATTGTAATGCAATGCGAAGCTGAATTTGTAATATTGGATAAGCATGCTCCTCAAATGAGTAGTACAATCGAAGAAACATAATATAGATTTCTAAGATGATAGATAGATAGACTAAGACATCCATTAGTGGCTCTAGGGATTAGAGAATTTTTAAAATGGGTAGAAAGAGCAAGGTTAGTAGAAATAGATTTAATAATTCCTCAGTCTAGATAATACATGAGCAAGAAGATAACATATAAACAAATGAGTAGAGAAAGTATTAATAAAAATTGAAAGTCCAGTGATTTCAAGACATGATATATGGTATATATTAGTATTAACCCAAAATGGATTCATTATGGGAAAAGACATCCATTTTAGTGTTTTTTTACTTATATGCCATTGCTTTCAATGTCGATAATGGGGATATAAGATAATAGATCATCCTCAAAGAGGAGTTGTAGGAAGACATGATTTGAGAGAACGGTCTAGAAAAGCATGCAAATAGAGGACTATCGGATCTTACATGCCTGTTGAAGGTTTTATAAATATGAGTGATGTAACAATTGATGAATTAAGCATTAGTAGGGATCTTCCTTTAGTTATCATAGCACCTATTTAGCCAAGAGTGTATACTCTAAGTTAGTACGAAATGAAAGAAGTGCTTGAGAAACTCACTAGTATAGTTCTCGAATTTGAACAATTTTTGAAATTTATTAATCTTAATTAATATGCCTTATATTACATGTTGCATGATTGATGGTTATGCATATATGTGTGAACGGATACATGATTTAATTGGCATGATTGATATGACCGGTGGTTAGTAATATTTTTTATCTTCTAGTGATATGTAGTGAGAAATGATGAGGATGATATTTTTCTAAGATGGGTAGGTTATAATAGCTCCAATTTATATTAGATTAATAACCTTTAAATGATTTGTAATGAAATTATTGCGTGCATGCTAATTTGAGTGAGAGCATCACAATGTTGTATTAGAGAGCACAATGGTGTTGGCCTCTCTATGTGGAAAGATTCTAACTATGCAAGTACAAAAACAACGGGGGAGGAGTTGTAGCGGTGCCTTCTATGTTCTATAGTAATTTGGAGGAGCATTGAGATGTTGGTAAGATAATTTATTTTTAAAATTTAAAAAACCCACTACCTAATCCAAGTTAACCAAAGCCATACACATCCCATCTTTGTTTCTTGGCTATGAAGGAGGAGGAGAGAAGAGAGAAGAGAGACGAGTTTATATCCCGAGCAATTTCATCCGTCCTTAGAGTTAACAAAGTTGCTATGATCATGGTAGATATCTCGAATAGTACTTTTATTTCTAATGATTTTGAATTTTGGCTTTCTTCTCTCGATAATATAGTTAAAATATATTATCTCATAATTTAGAAAACTTTCACTATGCAACTTTGATACATGATAAATATCATTATTCTAAGTATTTTAGTATAATCATATTGAAATTTCACAAGGGAATTTTGCATGTGTAGTATTTTAAATAGAACTGATAAGAATAAAAGCATATAGGAAATAAATTTGGACTATTACATCCATAATTTCAGGTCTAACATGGCATGCTTTTAGACAACTAACATAACTTTCATGCATACTAACATGAGCACACTACTATTAAAATATGCACGCCGATAGCATAATAATATGATATACGTGTTAACTGCAGAAGATACTTATATGATATATGATGCATATTATGAAACATAAAATATAATAAT